ACACAACCTGCCTAGGTTGAAACAAGAAGAAATTGAGACCCTAAATAGACCAATAACAATCAAGGAAATTGACTACATAATAAGAAAATTATCAACAAAAAAAAAGCCTTGGACCAGATGGCTTTTCAGCAGAATTCTAAAAGACATTTAAGGAGGAACTGATACCAATCCTACTGAAGGTATTCCAGGTGATTGACAAAGATGGAACTCTCTCCAAATCATTTTACAAAGCTAATATCATATTGATACCCAAACCAGGTAAAGATCCAACAAAGAAAGAGAACTACGGCCCAATATCTTTGATGAACATAGAGGCTAAAATTCTCAACAAGATCCTAGCAAACCGATCCAACAACACATCTCAAAAATCATCCATCATAACCAAGTAGGCTTCATCCCTGGGATGCAAGGCTGGTTCAACATTTGTAAAACCATAAATGTAAGTAAATACATCAACAGATGTCAAAACAAAAACCAAATGATTATATCATTAGATGCAGAAAACACTTTTGATAAAATCCAGAACCCCTTCTTGATAAAAACCCTCGAACATCTAGGTATACGGGAAACATACCTCAAAATAGTAAAAGCCATCTATGAGAAACCCACAGCCAGCATACTCCTAAATGGACAAAAATTGGAACTATTTCCCCTGAAAACTGGAACAGACAAGGATGCCCACTCACACCCCTCCTGTTCAATATAGTATTGGAAGTCCTGGCTAGAGCAATCAGAAAAGAGAAGGCAATCAGGGGTATCCAAATAGGAAAAGAGGAAGTCAAGTTATCTCTCTTTGGAGATGACATGATCATGTACCTTGAAAACCCAAAAGAATCTGTCAAAAACCTTCTTACATGGATAAAAGACATTGGCAAAGTCTCAGGATATAAAATAAATGTTCAAAAGACAATCACATTTCTTTACACCAATAATAAACAAACAGAAACCCAAATAAAAACCACAATTCCATTCACAATAGCCACAAAAAAAATGAAATACCTTGGCATCTTCCTAACCAGAAACATGAAAGACCTTTACAATGAAAACTACAAAAGACTGCTCAAAGAAATCAAAGATGGCACAAACAAGTATAAAATATCCTATGCTCATGGATTGGAAGAATCAACATTGTGAAGATGTCCATCCTACCTAAGGCAATCTACAGATTTAATGCAATACCCATCAAATTACCAGCAACATTTTTCTCATGCCTAGAAAAAACAATACAGGAATTCATATGGAAACACAAACGACCAAGAATAGCCAGAACAATCCTCTGCAAAAAAAACAAAGCAGGTGTTATCACATTACCAGACTTGAAACTTTACTATAAACCTACAATAATCAAAACAGCTTGGTATTGGTATAGGAACAGGCATATAGACCAATGGAATAGAATTGAGATTCCAGAAGCAAAACTTCAATTTTTCAACCAACTCATCTTCGACAAAGCCCCCACCACCTACCACTGGGGAGAAGAGAACCTATTCGTTAAATGGTGCTGAAAACTGGCTGACCACATACAGAAGACTCAAACAAGACCCCTATCTATCCCCATACACAAAAATTAACTGTAAATGGATCAGAGACCTAAAT